GAGACTAACAAATTTATTTGAGCATAAGCTTCCATGGGCTAATGCCCACTTCATCAGATGCATGCAGTGGAAAATACAGTAGGAAGATATTTTTATACAAAGAACGTGAAAAAATGATTTCTTACCATACCAACTTTGATGAGACTCATTGATTAAGGTGGGCTATTATCAGCAGGAGAAAAAAACTTTTGTAGTGATAATCAGGATGGCCCATTTCAAACAGTTGACAAGAAGGTGTGAGTAACAGTAGGGGGGAAAAAACCAAGGAGTTCTTGTGGCACCTTAGAGACTAATAAATTTATTTGTGCATAAGCTTTCGTAGGCTAAAACCCACTTCATCGGATGCATGCAGTGGAAAATATGGTAGGAAGATGTGTATACACAGAGAACATGAAAAAATTAGTGTTGCCATACCAACTGTAACGGACTAATCAATTAAGGTGGGCTATTATCAGCAGGAGAAAAAAAACTTTTGTAGTGATAATCAGGATGGCCCATTTCAAACAGTTGACAAGAAGGTGTGAGTAACAGTAGGGGAAAAATTAACATGGGGAAATAGTTTTTATTTTGTGTAATGACCCATCCACTCCCAGTCTTTATTGAAGCCTAATTTAATGGTGTCCAGTTTGCAAATTAATTCCAATTCTGTAGTTTCTCATTGAAGTCTGTTTTTGAAGTTTTTTTGTTGGAGAATTGCGACTTTTAGGTCTGAAATTGAGTGTCCAGGGAGGTTGAAGTATTCTCCGACTGGTTTTTGAATGTTATAAATCTTGACATCTGATTTGTGTGCATTTATTCTTTTGTGTAGAGACTGTCGGGTTTGGCCAATGTACATGGCAGAGGGGCATTGCTGGCACATGATGGCATATATCACATTGGTAGCTGAAGTGAAGAAATAGATTGACAGAGTCAGAAAAGTACCCAGAAGTCACCTACTACAGGACAGGCCCAAAAAAGAAAGTAACAGAACACCACTAGCCGTCACCTTTAGCCCCCAACTAAAACCTCTCCAGCACATCATCAAGGATCTACAACCTATCCTGAAGGACGATCCCTCACTCTCACAAATCCCTCACTCTCACAAATAACAAACGTGATATTTGCTGTCACAACCTTCCGCAGCCTTTGGGGAACACCAGCACCCCAGTTTCAAGGAAGAATGGAACTGGGCACAAAAGTCAGGGAGAGAAAAAGTCAGAGGATCGTCACTCTCACAGATCTTGGGAGACAGGTCAGTCCTTGCTTACAGACAGCCCCCCAGCCTGAAGCAAATACTCACCAGCAACCACATGCCACACAACAAAAACACTAACCCAGGAACCTATCCTTGCAACAAAGCCCGTTGCCAACTCTGTCCACATATCTATTCAAGGGACACCATCATAGGGCCTAATCACATCAGCCACACCATCAGAGGCTTGTTCACCTGCACATCTACCAGTGTGATATATGCCATCATGTGCCAACAATGCCCCTCTGCCATGTACATTGGCCAAACCGGACAATCTCTACACAAAAGAATAAATGCACACAAATCAGATGTCAAGAATTATAATATTCAAAAACCAGTCGGAAAACACTTCAACCGCCCTGGTCACTCCATTTCAGACCTAAAAGTCGCAATTATTCAACAAAAAAACAGACTCCAAAGAGAAACTGCAGAACTGGAATTAATTCGTAAACTGGATACCATTAAATTAGGCTTCAATAAAGACTGGGAGTGGATGGTCATTACACAAAATAAGAACTATTTCCCCATGCTAATTTTTCCCCTACTGTTACTCACATCTTCTTGTCAACTGCTGGAAATGGCCCATCCTGATTATCACTACAAAAGTTTTTTTTCTCCTGCTGATAATAGCCCACCTTAATTGATTAGTCTCATTAGAGTTGGTATGGCAACACCCATTTTTTCATGTTCTCTGTATATATCTTCCTACTGTATTTTCCACTGCATGAACCTGATGAAAGCTTATGCTCAAATAAATTTGTTAGTCTCTAACGGTGCCACAAGTTCTCCTCGTTGTTTTCATGTCAGGAGTGTAATCGGTAACTTGTTTGTATCAATGTATAAAAGAGAAATCATAGAAGGGGCAACATTAGAAAGTCCTGTTGCTGACTGAGCTGGTCCGTTGATCACAGGCATACATGCGCTAGTGTGCCTGTAGCACTTATGGGGCAATAGGATCGTGATTTGTCGACAATAAACCTGGCTGAGCACCTTCGCCACCAAACCGAGTCTGTGGTTTTTCTGGATAGAACTATCAAGGTCTGTGCAGAGGTGGGACAGCCCACGAGAGAAAACACACATGTCACCTGACAACAAATGATAATTGGGAATCATTTAAGAACACCTTACTAGATGCCCCAAAATTGCACAATTGAGGAAGGTGGCTTTGCTGGTTGGCAAAAAGAAAAGGAGGACTTGTGGCCCCTTAGAGACTAACACATTTATTTGAGCATGAGCTTTCGTGGGCTACAGCTCGCTTCAGGGGAGGCATGACTAACACGGCTGCTACTCTGAAAACTTTGCTGGTTGGGTAATTTACCTCCAAATTAAAGGGTTAAACCGCTTGAAAATCTCCATTCTCTCCTTTCTCTTCTCTCTTAATCAGGGTTACAGTCTTCTCTCCACTCTAGGGTATAACTGTAATGGCCCCCTGCTGGTCCCTTGGAATCAAAGGGGAGCTCACACCCTCCCACTTCCACAAACTCTAGTCCTGGGGTAGAATTTTTCCAAAGCTCCTACATGACTCATTCCCATTGACCTTTAATGAAATGTACACACCTAAGCCACTTAGGGGCTTTGGAAATTTTTCATCCTTGGGGCCCAAAACATCAGATCTGACCAAGTTTTTCTGCTTCTCTTCTCTCTTTTGTTGGGCACAGTTCAAGCTTCTTCCAGGGCCCCAACAAGAAAGGCCCAGAGCTCTGGGTCATTTCCTGCTCTCTTCTCGGACTGAGCGAACAGGTTGCTTATATCCTGCTGCACACCCTCCTAGCATCTGTTGATGTGACAGCTCTTATTCCTGTCAACCGTGGAGATTACAACTCCCACAGTTCCCTGGTTCCAGGCTGAACTGGGAACAGGGCTTTGCTTAAAGGACCAGCACAACCTGGTTATACAATGCAAAAAATAAAACCAGGTTTGTGTGCCACCGTGATGGAAACACATTGTGTATGAACATGCCAACAGCAAGAGGTGCCTGCTGCTTCATGTAGAAAACTATACGCCAAGGCATGGACACTTAATTAAGCAGCAATGAGATGTAAGTGCAAAATGAGTGCATTAGTAACTGTAGTATCACCAACCACAAGCATTCAAATAAGATTTTTTGGTTAAATTTTTATGGTTTTTAGGCCAACATATCTTGGTTTCTTTTTACTAGTCTTCTGCCTTTAGAGTCTTTAGGATGCACTTGAGTCCCATTTTTAACTCAGTCAGAAAGGTTAGAAAATGGCGTTTTTGTTAAAAATGCAAGCAAAGATTCTTATATTTACACAACTGCAGGAACTGGGGCTCTAAGAAAAAGAAGAAATATCATGAAACTTGCAGATCCCGAGAGTTGACAACACTGTAACTGTAACATCCAGTAAGCCATGACTGTAGGGTGACCAGATGTCCCGATTTTATAGGGACAGTCCTGATTTTTGGGTCTTTTTCTCCCATAGGCACCTATTACCTCCCACCTCCTGTCCCGATTTTTGACACTTGCTATCTGGTCAGCCTACATGGCTGGCAAGCAAGAACAGATAAGATGTCACTGACAAACTCTCTGCTTCATCCACTGTTAGGTACTTTAGCAACCAGCAGGCAGCCCATGCCTCATTCACAGTGTGGAGGGTGTAAGTTGCAGAAGGTACAAAACAGACCTTCTCGTTGCAGGCACATTCTTACTCTTCAGCAGCTGCAGCTTTTGAGCCTTGCAAGAGAAAGGATCCTTTGCAGTTGCTTTCCTGCAAAAATTCTGAGCTCCCTTAACTGTGTCCCTGTGTCCTCCTGCACTAAACGAGACAGGGTTCACCATATTTTTACTACAGTGCCACCAGCACTATAGTTGTCAAGCCCATATAACTCAGCTAAATCAACAGAATTTTTGCCAGGGTAACAAAAGCAGTATTTCCCACCCAGATGTTCAAAAAGCATGAGCCAGCCCCCCCAAAATCACGAGGTTGGCTCAAAAAATCATAGAATTAAAAAAAAATCATTCTGAGGTTTTTTTTTTTATTTATCTTCTGGTTTCTGAGTCTTTTGGGAATATCTGGGTCACATTTTTTCAGCTTTCCTCTGCAACCATGAGGACCAGAAACTTTTGTAAAAAACAAAACCTGAGGTTCTCACCTAATCCCATGACTCCAAGAGCAGGGGCTTTAAATAAAACAACAAATATTGCAAGACTCACAATACAATTGCAAGAATCGCCAATACTGTGAAAGGCACTTTGACGCTATAAGGGCTTTGCAATTCAAATTGCTTAGTTTGAGATATTTTGCAATGGGAAAAGTGAACTTTACTCCTTGCCCATCCCCTTGTTCTCAAGCTTGAAAAAAGATATGGAAAATTTCATCCTGGAAGTTGAAAGGTATGGAAGGTAATGAGGAGATTAGGGCAGAAATGCTTAGACAACATCAACTGTATGCAGCCATTGCTTGTGCTACAGTTCGAAAATGAGTGAAAACACGATGTGGCATTTTATAACTTACGCAAAGCATCTTTATACAATTGCTAAATTTTATTTTAAAATTAAATTCCTAGAAATATTTTGAGGCTATTGACAATGTTTTTTCATTGCCTGCCAAGCCATTGCATTAAAAACGATTCCTTTGATAGCCTACTTGTCATATATCTTGAGCCATCTGCCTTCTTTGAATTGCATCTTCCCCTAAACTTTCAAAGGCCTTGTATGAGATTTAGCCCATTGAATTTTATGGCTAAATCTCCTGCATCTTTGAAAATGAAAGGATAGTCCATAACAAGAATTCAGAGCTGAGACATCAAAGAGACTTTTCTTTTTAATGCAAGTATTAAAAAGCCTGCATTTACCTTTTTAGGGCAAAGTTGCTTAATAATAATTTGTTCCATGGCCAATTTTCATACTGGAGTGAATACAAGCTCTCTGTACTTTAATCTTTGGAAACCAGTGGCTGCTAGTTTAATGCATGGTCTAAAATTAATATACTAAAACTGTCTAATCATATCCACCCAAGCTGGTCATGCTGTCAAAATAATTGGCAGAGGAACTCATGCAGGAGCTTCTCCGTATGGACGCTTTGTTTTAAAAATCAACCTTTAGCTGTATATTCAACAACAGCCTAAATGCTAGATCTGCTTTTGCAAAAACCAAAATTATTGCCTGGATACTTTCTAATGAACTGATATTCATTCTACAGCCATCATGGTCTTGAAGGAGTGAAAGCGAAATATCAATTCCTTCTAAAAGAATGACAGAATTCAAGGAACCTGGCCAATTGCGCTGATTCAGCATCTGCTGACTATGGCAGCTAAATCATTATGTTTGCCATTCTAGCTCCAGGAAGACAGCAGAGATGAATGGTTATTCTGAATTGTGAAAACCAGTATGATTATTTTACACTGCACAGCAGAATTGCAAATTACCATTGAATTTTCAGCCCAGGCAAGAGATCTGCATGCACATGCTTTTACAATGATAAGGATAATGTAAAAGGACCTATGGGGTGAACTGCTGGGGCCAATAACATCAATGGCAAAATTGCCATTGACTTCCATGGGGCCAGGACTTCACCCCTGACATTTTACTCACCCGTCCAAAAACGTTACCGCTGGTGAATGACCAATCAGAAATTGGCTGTACAAGGGGAGATTTTTTCCTGCTGGGCTCCCTTCAGGATGGTGTTACGTGCAATTAGAGATACTCCTACTCCCTACTTTCTAGCAGAGATTTTTGTGAAATGTAAATCAGAAAACATGTCACAATGGCCTGTTCCTTGGATTCACTCCCAATATGGATCCTTGGGGGTACATCAATAAAAGTCTTAAAAGTTGGGTTTTCCACATTCATCTTGCAATCAATGATGTAACCATTGATGTAACAGGAGTCCGGTTAGCAGGGTGATGCAACAGTAAGATTTAATGTTTATGGGTGATTTGGCAGCTCTAACTCCTGAGGAGGGATTCAAGAATGGCATCCCATGAGGCCCATGGATGTTCAGAGGAGCAACACTACCAATAAAAGTGAGAGGGATGATACCAGCCATCTGGTGAAGGAGGCATATCACAAATCACCTTCATGGCACAGGTATCCCCAGGAGGCTACTCTACAATTATCTCCAGTGGGACTAACTGCCAAAGGGGCTTACCCATGGAGAATTTGCCTGCTGAAGCACTCCTTCCAGTGCTGAAAGTAAGGTTTTTCTAATGATCATTTTTATTCATTTGTTGCCCACCACGTGCTTATTGCTTGTTAAAGAGAGAATCTCCGTTTTTACCAGTGCTCAGATGCTGCTGTGGTGGGTGTGGCCTGATCCAAAGACCACGGAGGTCAAAGAAAGGATACCATTTGACTTCCATAGGCTTTGGATTGGACTGTAACGTCTTGTCTACATACACAACTTGTACCACTTTAACTAGCCCAGCATAATTAAAGTAGTGCAGCCCCCAAGTATGGATGCAGTTACAGTGGTATACAAGTGCTTACAGCAGTATAAAATTTATTCCTGTATAGGAACAGAAATAAACTATACCAATATACGCACGGACTTTATACTGGTAGAACTGCATCCATACTCGGGCTTGCATGCATTCAACTCTATGAGTAAGAAAAATAAATATAATAAAATAAATCACCCCCCTAACCAACAGAGTTTTGCAGGTATATTGTCAGTGTGTAGACCAGACGTGAGAACATGGACAGTCTTCCCAGACCACCCTTTTTCAGATTAATCTTGTGACCTGTGATACAAAATAGCTTTGCAAACTGTTTAAAACCCACCTCCTCTTCCCACAAATTGGTATCTGCCCAGGAGGTAGTCAAATCCTCAGGAAAAAATGGTTCTAATCCTGACATGCAGGCTGAAGCTTAGCATTGGCTAAAGAAGGCAGCATTGGAAACGGACATATGATATGTCCGCTTTCCAGAAGTGAAGGTAAAGCACATCTGAATCTCCTACTGGAGTGACTGGTGTCTAGAAGCTGCTTTCAGCATTGTACCAACTTGACTATGGCTCACGTGCTTAAGGCTACAATTGATAAGGCATCCCTTCTGAATAAAACCAAACTAGGTCACCTCTCTCCTTGAATCTTAGCAAAGGTTTATCCTTCTAATGGGGAGAGTGTTGTCCTTTTATGTCGTTGCTTATTATTTGACAATTCTGCTTTCAAACAGCTTGCCAGCTTTGCAGCTCCCGTCACAACAACACTATGAATAATTTAAGAGCTACCATTTTCCATCAAAGTTTTAATGAGCCAGGGAACTCGCAAAAGGGGCTCCGTATAACATAATTAAATAAAATCTAAGTAAATGGCAAGGTTTCACACACAATATTTTAGTTGAAAACAGCTGGTATGCAGAGAAAGAAAGGAGCATCGAGAGTGCATGATGCAAAAAGGCATTTCACAGAATGCAAATGCTAAAACTTTTCATATCACACACATACTAAAACGCTGAGTTACAAGTGGCTTCACTCCGATTTGGAAGAACAGGTAGGGGTGACACTTTTTTGATAGTCTGCACAGTAAAATATTTGACATGGAAGCCCAAAACAGGTTCAAAGAGCCATTTGTCCTTAGGATAGAAATAAATACTCCAGAAACAGGTAGCGCCACATACATCATCTTGCTCAAGGAGCCCAGTGGTTGCTGGTTCTTTCCTATGTTTCCAAAGAGGGGGCAGTGCTGGATCCCTCAAAGCTGAGTCTTGCAGAGGTCGGTATTGTAAAATGTCTGTTTGGCTCAGAGCTGCAAAACTCTGCTCATTTCATGCTCACACCAACTCCCCAAACTCATTGCAAATTGCAACTAGTCAGATCTGTGCTGAACCACATAGCTCAGCATTAATAGTCTGCATTGACTATTTATGATACTGTACCATGTTTATTCCAGCCCTATAAATATTTGATATCAGAGTTGCACAAATCCTAGAGGTTTTGTTGTTTTTTTTTTTAATTTCACATTAAGGTAACTTTGTTGTTGGTGCTGTTGCATAATATAAGGCTGTTTCAGTGTATTCCTTGAGAATGAAACTCCTGGTAAACCAATTTTCACTTCTTCCATCAGATGCTATCACCACCTTGCACAACCTTCCATGTGGCTATGGCTGTAATTCTGGATCAGTGTATGAAAAGTTTCTAAATTCTTCTTGGTTAATCATTGCGATAATCCCTTCTTCAATGGGGGTTAGAGCTGGTTCTTCTTTTATAAAATCAGGATCAAAATTACTAACATCTTCGCTGCATTTCTGCCAAACAAAAAAAAGACAAAAAGAGGAGAGGTCAAAAACTTGCACCATCACTTTTCTATTCTCTTTGTTTGTAACTTTTTCTGGTCTTGAATGAGATGCGTGACTGCCTCCATGGAGTGCTCAGCTATTCTGTAACTCACTTTGGGCTGCACCCTGTAAGATGCTGCATGGCCCTGCTTAGCCCTTTAAAGCCTGTCCTTTGTAAGCCTCCGTAGGCCTTTTGCTGGCAAACCCCTCGCTGACTTAGTTGACATCAGCTGGAGTTTTGCCTGCACTGCTGCTGAATGGCAGACCCCATGGAGCAGTAATCCCTTACTTTGTTTAAGTGTCAGATTGCACAGGCCCAGCCATTCACAGTAATTATACACACTGTTTCCAATTAGCTGAATCTACACAGTCTTTGCTTATCTGTGCAGTGTCTGAAATGGCCTAGTTGGGGGATCTTCTCCTTTGTTCAAAAGCCATTATACTTGTACAATAATGAATTAGTAATGCCACAGGAGGAACAAACACCCTGTCTCCAGGTGCCAGATTCCTACCCACCCAGTACAAAGTATGATTGTTTTCAATAGAGACCCCAAAGTTGGCTTATGGTACATTTTGACACAACACTGATTTTGCCTGCCCCCCGGAACAGCAAGGAGAAGTTTTATCATCACAAGAGTTTATTTTTCCAGATCCACTCTAGCAAGGGAATTCACTGGACCTGGTGGAATGATCACTTTACACTGTGCAAGAACATGTGTACCTTTAGAATGGGATTTTCAAACATACTCAGCATTGGCTCAACTCTGCTCCCAGCTGTGTCTCAAAAGGGCATTTTACCACTGATTTCCGGGGGGCTGAGAAGGGCAGGGCTGAGAGCCTTGGAAAATCCCACCCTTATGGTTTCCTTGACAAGTCTCACAAACCTTGCACAACCCAAAAGATTTGCAAGCTCAGCAGACACACAGGTCTCTGGATGGCAATAGAAAGCTTGGTTCTGAAGTCCGAACTCCTCATTAGCCAAAGCAAAGGCCAAGTACCAGGGACGGCTGGGCCACGGTCCCAACATTAAGACTGGGGAAGACCCTGGTCCCAGGAAGATTTGGATTCAGATGAAAGAAAAGGCAGAACATAAAGAGCCTGATCCTGAAAAGTACTGAGCACCTGCAAGGACCACTGGGCCTGATTCTGCATGCACTGAACTCACTGGGATTTGAACAGGAGGGGGCCCACTAACTGCAATGTGAGATAAAGGAGCTCAGCAGCCCTGAGGATCAGGCCCCAAAAGGGAATTTAAAAGGCAGTGGTGCCATAGGAAGCTAACGAGAGAGAATGAGCGTGAAAGCATCACGAGGAGCATCCGTGGGGCAGTATGGTATCATGGGACAGAGAGACCAGCACTCTGTGCTCCCCGTCATCGTAACTATTCAATGGCATTACAGTAGCACCCAGAGGCCCCAGCACGGATCACTGCACCACTGGGCTGGGCACTGTACAAATACTCAGTGAGAGACATCCCCTGCCCTGGACAGCTCACTGTCTCAATAGACAAGGCAGGGCTAAATTGGGAGAAGGGAAGGATTATTACCCCACATTTTGTACAAGGGAATTAAAGCACAGAGGGGAGTTAGGTGCCTAATCTACTTAGGCTCTTCTGAAAATGTGTCTTTAGATGCTTAGGTATCTTTCTGTCCCAGGCAGATTAAGTGACTTGACCAGCATCACACAGGGAGTCTGTGGCAGAACTGTGAATTGAGCCCACTTCTCCTAAGTCCCAGTCCAGTGCCTTAATCACAAAGCCGCCCTTCCACTGCATCCTTCTCCCCAGTAGTTATACAGGTAGGGAGATAATTCAGCAAAAGGAGGGAGCGAGCAAGAGACTCCATCACTCACAATTCTTGGCCTGAAGGGTGGTTCCATCTGGCGCTGGTTCAGCAGGTCCCAGTCCAACCCTTTAAAGTAGGGGTGCCTCAGGATAGTGTTCTCCCCACCCTGAGCCAGGCTGCCCAGGCGTGAGTTGGGGTTCTTGGTCATAAACTGCAGAGCAAAATAAATGAACCTGGTTAGTCCTTTACTCACACCCAGCAAGGAGACAGGGGAGACACCTATTACTAGCAATCACACAAACACCGGTCCTCAGCTTTCTTGTTGAGCCGACTTTGCTGGCCAGACTTTCCACCTTCGTTACACTGGAAGAACATGCAGGGATCCTGACTCCTCTTTTAGGGAGGAAGCATGGGTATATTTATGTCCTTGGCCACTTCTATTCCATAAAAAAGAACAGGAGGACTTGTGGCACCTTAGAGACTAACAAATTTATCAGAGCATAAGCTTTCGTGGACTACAGCCCACTTCATCGGATGCATAGAATGGAACATACAGTAAGACATACGTCTCCACGCAGAAGAATAAATGGACACAAATCTGACATCAGGAATCATAACATTCAAAAACCAGTAGGAGAACACTTCAACCTCTGTGGCCACTCAGTAAAAGATTTAAGGGTGGCAATTTTGCAACAGAAAAGCTTCAAAAACAGACTCCAACGAGAAACTGCTGAGCTTGAATTAATATGCAAATGAGATACCATGAATAGAGACTGGGAGTGGCTGGGTCATTACACATATTGAATCTATTTCCTTAAGTTAAGTATCCTCACACCTTCTTGTCAACTGTCTAAATGGGCCAGCTCGATTATCACTATAGAAGTTTTTTTTTCCTGCTAATAGCAGCTCATCTCAACTAATTAGCCTCTCACAGTTTGTATGGTAAATTCTAACTTATCTGTGTGTGTATATATATATAATCTTACTAAATGTTCCATTCTATGCATCCGATGAAGTGAGCTGCAGCTCACGAAAGCTTATGTTCTAATAAATTTGTTAGTCTCGAAGGTGCCACAAGTACTCCTGTTCTTTTTGCGGATACAGACTAACACGGCTGCTACTCTGAAATCTTCTATTTCAGATACATCCTTGGTTATCATGATAATAAAAGAAAGTTAAAGTGCATCATCTGCAGCACTATAGACATTGCACATTGTTTTGCGGGTTTTCTTTTTCAAGAACAAAAGCTCTTTATAAGGTTGGTATTTGCCAGCTGCCTGGGCTTTGGATTAGAGTCAGTTTTTAACTGTGCCTTTTTCCGAAACCTCAGCCTGCTGAAGTGAAGCCAGAAACCTGCCACGTTCTTCTTGAAGTCTCTCAGAAATCAGAGACGGCTGAGGAGAATGAGGAAGGGTTTGAATGTCACAGATCATTAAGAAGGAAGCGGCAATCCAAAGAAAACTGAACATATGAATTCACAGAGGTGACACCACCTTGTGTGTGTGAAACCCATAGGAAGACTCTCCCACCTCTGCTACGAGAGGAAAGAAACCTCCGTATAGCAGCATCAAACTTCAGCTAGGGGTTCTGATCTGGAAGAAAGTAATAATAAAAGCTATGGCTCATCTAACTGGTTCAGTACTGGTGTGAGAGGGATATGGCTTGTATCTTTCAGATTCTGGAAATAATACTCAAGTGAGAATGCATTTTCAAGCAGTTTGGAAGTCTTTTCTCATACGAGGAATATTTTGTTTTGTTTTTAAACTTCAGGACCTAATTTTTTAAAAGACTGAAGAAACCAAATGAAAATTCCACCCCGCCACTACAAACATTTGATTCACTAGAGTAAGAGAAATCCAGTTCAATTTGATTGGAAAAAACCAGCCACTTCAATTTGCGGGGCCAGCTGAAATGGCAGCAGAAAGGAAAATCAGGATCGTTGGCTGCGTTGTCCAGATGAGTTTCTTGAGGAGGAAAGAGCATTAAATTCAGTAAATACTGCGCCAGTCACACCAGTCACTGTTGATGGAATTTTAAGTCTACTGCATCCTCGGCAATGAAAACATTAAAATGGGCAGGAGGAGCTTTGAGAAATCTTCTTGAATCTGACTGGAAGAACCTTTCAGAAGGCTGAAATTCCTCGAAGAGGAGTTATTAAAAGGCCCAGTCATTCCCTCCCCTGGACAGACCCATGAGAGGGGACAGAGAACACTGGAAATTCTGCAAGATTCACCTTGAGGAGTTTCCTCCAAATTTCCCCCCTGAATGGGAGGGGCTTTCTGACCTCATGCAAGTGTGCATGGGCGATTTTTCAAGCCTGGGAAGCCTATAGGACCCTCAGCTCCACAAACAGACCAACCACCACCCTGTTAGACTTCAGGCCACCAGCACAGGGAGCTAGCTCCTGTATGGAGCTCTCTGACCTCCCAACCTCCTTTCTTGGCAGCATGGCTTCCATATGCTGTCACTGGCTCTCCCATCCTATGTCCGTTTTCCACCAACCCTGTCTGAAGGTGCAGAAGGGAAGCTAATGCCGTTTACTGCAGCTGATAATCTGGATTCACAGGTGACTGCACCATGCAAAGCAACTGCTCTGTGGCTGTGCCTTAAGTGTGCCCCTTTTTTACCACAAAGTTCCAGCTATGTGGTATCTCCTGGGTGGGGACAAAATGCAGTGGAGGGGCTGTTTACTCCTATGAACCCCCCTCCTAGTCTACCTGCTTTTGTTCCTCTCTGCCAGCACAATCCAAGGGAAGTACACATCCCCAAAACACTCTGATTTGGGATTAGTGGATTCCCCTTGATCTATTTCTCTGTAAGATCTTCCATGACAGCTCAGATTCCAATCCATATACAAATCAGTGAGGGGCAAAGCAAAACCCTTTCAGAGTCTTTATATGAACTTCTTAGGTTTGCAAGTGTGGCTGGAAATCACATGATAACAGATTCGCTTGTGAGATTCCCTGTGCTTTTGCTTCCGGTCATGCTGGAGAGATGAGAACCTCTCTCCTACTGTTTCAGCAAACCCACTTCTGGACTCAGAGAGAAAGTAAAAATTACTCTTTCTTATTTCAGAGTAACAGCCGTGTTAGTCTGTATTCGCAAAAAGAAAAGGAGTACTTGTGGCACCTTAGAGACTAACCAATTTATTTGAGCATGAGCTCACGAAAGCTCATGCTCAAATAAATTGGTTAGTCTCTAAGGTGCCACAAGTACTCCTTTTCTTTCTTATTTGTATTACAGTGGTTCTTAGAGGCCCCTACCATGGTTGGATCCCATTGTGCTAGGCCCTGTACAAACACATAGTACAAGCCAGTATTTTCCCAAAAGAACTTAGATTAAATAGGCAAGACAAAGGAGGGGAAGGAGAAATGGAGGCACATCTAGATGAAGCAACTTATCCAAGGTCACACAGCAGCTGGAAATAGAGCCCAGGTCTCCTGACTCCCAGCCCAGTACCTATTCACTACGCTATGCTGCCTCTGCTTAGAATGAAAAATAACAAAAATTTTCAAATCTCAGCAAAGTCTCATAGAGGATAGGTCCATCAGTGGATATTAGTCGGGATGGGCAGGGATGGTGTGCCTAGCCTCTGTTTGCCAGAAGCTGGGAACAGGTGACTGGGGATGGATCACTTGATTATCTGTTCTGTTCATTCCCTCTGGGGCACTTGGCATTGATCGCTGTCGGAAGACAGGATTCTGGGCTAGATGGACCTTTGGTTTGATCTAGTATGGCCATTCTTATGTTCTAAAGGGTTGGTACATTTAGGTTCAAGCCATGCAACCAAAAAAATCTGAATGGTTCTGTCCATTCACAAAACCAATCCAGAGCCCTGGGAAGTAGGAGTGTGTTTACATTCTCAATGTCTTGTTTTATTCAGCATTATACCAAAACTGCATCAAGCAAAGGCATCCAGTGCAACAAATCAAGTCCACCCAATTGTTCTGGTTCGGTTAGCTGGCTCTGATTAGCACAGTAGACCTCCTGCACCTCCTCAGGAAATTATAGCTGACACAAGGTATCTCAACCCCAAATGTGTCTGGTTTTTGGTATCCAAAGGAGGGAGGAAGGGAATCAGCCTTTCCCATTTGCTCACTTATGGAACGCACTTCTGACTGCCTGCCCCCTGGGGCAGTTCTGGGAAGATGCATAATTACTGCCAAGCTCATAGCTGGGCTGCTGCGAAAATCCTTTTGAAGTGATCCCTGTTTCAGAAGGGAAATTATTTGAACCACTGGATCCCTGATCAAAGAGCCTCCTTCTCCCGTGCTTCATATTTTACGTATAAATTCAGTCCTGTTCTGCAGTTGGTCTGGTTTTGGAAGTGTGAGTGTTCAGTGTGCACAGGCATTGGGGCTCAAGTGATAAAGCAGAAGCCTGAACAATTATCTTTATGTCTCTCTAAAAAATGAAGGGCCTCTACCTCATTTACAGTAAGGCCCCTTTACACCACTTTGGCAGAGTAGTGGGGCCTTAATAGTGAGTGTAAATAAGTAAATGTTCCAAAGGCGCCTTTACATGACCAGAGTGATAGCAAAGGGCTTTATTAAATGAGAATCAGGCCCAAAAGATTCTGTTTTAAAACAGGCAGGATACAATTTGAAAGGACAGGCACATTTATTATCATCCCACATAACTGCATCCATCTCTGACTGACTTCTTTTACACGGTACTGAGGCATTTTGCATGCAAATGCCGCTCAGTATGTGTGATTTATCATTCTGAAATTCTAGCCCTTAGATGCCATTATACAGTACCTGTAAACTGTTACTATAGTCATGACACCCCAGAACATCCTACTCTATTACATAGGCTGATGTGCTGGCCTCATGCCTCTGTGACCCAGGGGCTGTCACAAACACCCTGCTGTTTGCCATTTCTAGTCTTTCAGAACATGAAATCTTACCGTGCTTTCTGGAAATGGTGGGTCTGGATAGAGTCGACATGCTTTATGTGGGAAATGGTTGGGTTTAACATCATCGAGTAGGTATCTGGCAACTGAGTCCCAGGAAAAACAGAACGCGAACAGCGCCTCTTACTACTTGTGTCAATTTTAATACTTTGTCCCATAATGTAGTTACATATTGTATCATATGATGCACTTCAAATTAAAGGCTGAAATGTTCAAAGCCACCTAAGGGATTTGGATGCCCGATTCTCATTAAATTTAATAATCTAAAAGATATGCTCTAATTCAGCCCAAAGTAA